TGCTTTTTTGAGCACTTACATTAATATAAAGAAATAAAGGTGGGACCCACAGAGTGTTGGTGGACAGGAAAGTTTTCCAACTTTCCCTCTGCTTCAGATCATCTCAGGCAGTCAGCACAGGCATTTAATGTGTCTCTTATTTTTCAGGAAGTCCCTAAACTGGAAATAAAGAGCTCTGGGTTGAACTGCCTGTGACTTTCTCTGCTGTTTCCCTTCATTTACACATTTTACCCCTGGAACAGGGGAGTTCCTCCTGTGGGCAGCTGCTCCAGAATTCACATTCTGGTCCCACTCCAAATCTGTGCTATGCCAAATGGAAAGTCCTCAACTTCAGGATAAATTGATGAGAATCCACCTTTTTACCCACCCTTAAGGGTTATTGCCATGCCCCAGTGCCTGCTGAGGAACAGAATTTTCAGTAAGGACCTGCTCATGGTCAGAGTTCTTTTTCCAGGCAGTTTTTGCTGTATTTATGGTGAGAAATGAGTGTCACTGCCTTGCTGCACATTAGGGCTGCTGAGCTGAAGAAAATGGGTATAACTTTTCTCTTAATTCTATAATCTTATTATCCCAGCTCCAATAAAAACTGATAATGAAATCTGAGGATATTGAGAACTTGGATTTTTTCCATCAAGTTGAACTTGGTATTTTTTTTTGAGTGCTGGTACTTACCATAGTCCAACTCTTTTTAAGACCATCCAGGGAAACATAAACCCTTGCAGCGAGCCATTTTCTGTCAAAATTACATCTGACCTGCATATTTTTGCAATTCTCTGATGCATTATACAGTCAGATCAGGTTGTTCCTTGACCACTTGTTCACCCCCATCAATTGCATTAGCATTTAACGTGTCAGTTTAAATTACAAAGGTAACAAAGGTTTAGGAAGGTTACAATGGATCCAATCTCATGCAGAAGTGGGGGAAAATAATCTTAAATCATCCTTGCATGGGAGTGTTATTTTTTTTCCTCCTGACATGCATTTACTCACCTTCAGAGCATCACTGGGCAACTTTTTATGGTGAGGACTCCATGGGATCAGCACAGCCTGTCAAAGGAGAGGAGCAGGGATATTTTATTTGAACTCAGATTGCATCTCCTGTGTCTTTCCTAATTTCCCCTTCTATTCTTCATCCATTTTCAGGGCTAAATTCCCTTTTTTCTCTATCTGGAGAGAGTCTGTTCTTCATTGTGGCTGATCAGTAAATTAGGGCCTATTCTGCAGGCACGTAAGAACATCATCAAGGATTGGAGTCTCTTAAATTCTTAATCCTTTAGCCTTGAACGGAATCAGGGAATCATTAAGGGTGGAAAAGACCTCTAAGCTCATCAAGTCCAACCATCAACCCTAATCCCTGTCCTCAGCTGCCACGTCCTCATGTTTTCTGTGCACTTCCAGGGATGGGAACTCCACCACTGCCCTGGGTGGTCTGTTCCAATCCATGGCAAATTTTACAGGAGGAATTTTTTTCCTGGGATCTCATCTGAATCTCCAGGAGGGACAGCAGTGCTTCTCCTCAAGCACCCATCATGCTGTGCTGTGGATTTGCCACTCTACCATATCAGGGTTTGAGAGTCATCAATAAAATATCAACTATAGGGAAAACCTCTCTAAAACAATTTCATATGTTTGGAAAAACCTGGAGGTCAAATTAATTTTACGTGGCATTTTTTTCTATTTATGCAATGACCTAATAACACAGTGATGTCAGAATTCCAGCTGTGGGTTGCCTGATTTCCTCCCACATCCACTCATTCCCACCTTTCTGTGCCCTCCCAGCACCAAGCCAGGCAGCTGAGCAACATAAAACCACTGCATGGCCTTGTGGAAAAATAAATCAGCTCATGATGGGCCAGAAATGCCCCTAAGTGAAGAGCTGGAAAAGATACAATCATAAAAGCAGAATTCTGGTAACTTATAAATTTATATATTTATTGATTTACGTATTTTTACATAAATATATGTATTTATAATACACTATGCAGATGTATTTATATACCATGAAGTGCACTGCAAACACAGGTATTCCTTTTTTAATAAAGGTGGAACAAAAAGCTTCTGCCAACAATATTCACGTGCACAAGGCTGCCATCAAATCTGCCTGCATGGAAACTGCAGCTGTAAGGTGTTAAAGCAGCAAAATTAAAAGTAAAGCCAGATTGTGGCTGTTACTGAGCTCAGGAAGCACAATTATCAATTTAAAATGAGCAGATATTTTCAAATTCTGGATTTCAGTGTGGCCAGAACATGTTAAAAGGCCCTAAAACAACAATGCCTGCATCTTAAGTTAGAGCAATAGCTAAGGGCTGAAAATAACACTAAAAAAGGAGTTTAAGGAGATGTCTTTGCTGCACAAGCAGCAGCATTTCCCCGTGCAGCTGTGGCCATGGAGGGTGCTGTGATGAATGGTGTTTAATTAACGAGAGCAGAGCTTGGCCTCCGTTTGGCTGGAGTGGCTCCTGTGCTGGGATTGGGATGTGTCCCTTGCTTGTCCCCAAACGTGCAGTGCAGCAGCTGGGCTGCCTCCCTGCATGGGGGCTCTGCATTGCTGCAACCAGCTGGATAGAACGAGCCAGATATGCAAATGGATTTAAATGTGTGACTGAGAGAAGCGCAGGGTGAGAAGGGACACTAAATCCCACCCAGTGCCACCCCTGCCATGGCAGGGACACCTCCCACTGTCCCCAATGTCCAGCCTGGCCTTGGGCACTGCCAGGGATCCAGGGGCAGCCACAGCTGCTCTGGGCACCTGTGCCAGGGCTGCCCACCCTGCCAGGGAAGGATTTATTCCAAAAATCTCACCTGAATGTACTCTCCGTCAGTTTGAAGCCATTCTCCCTCGTCCCATCACTCCATCCTTTTTGAACAGTCTCTCTCCATCTTTCCTGCAGCTCCTTCAGGTCCTGGAGCTCAGCCCAAAGCTTCTCCTGTGCAGGTGAGCAATGCCAGCTGTGCCAGCCTTTCCTCCCAGCAGAGCTGCTCCATCCCTCGGCTCACCTTGGAGAAGTTTCCTGGAGTTCACAAACTTTGGTCCCGATCTTCACATCCCAGATAAAAACAAGACACTAACTAACAAAAACCAAGTACAAGCATATTCAAAAGTCATGCTACCATATTTTGGCTATGCAGATGTTAATTTGAAGCAGAACTGCTCTCCCTGATCAGAGAACTCTTCTTAAGAAAGGATGAAGTACTTCTCCTATTTCAGATAATATCCTGGAGGATATTTCAAAGGAAAATGAGAATTTAAATAGAGAACAGGCCTTGTAAAATAATCTCTAAAATAATCTCATCAAGACCTGCGCCATAAAGTACTTCAGGACTTTTTGAGCCCCAATCTGTGTCCAGCTTCTTTAAATATCTTCAGCAAACATGTGGAAAGATTCCCACACCTCCCTTTGAAACTCTTAATTCAAACTACTCCTTCCAATATTGTATTTTCATAAATAAAATCCTCAGTTGTTCCATTTCTTGTGGCATCAACCCAAACACAGCCCCCAGTGCTACCAAAAATAGCCCTCAACACCATTTGCTCTGTTTTCCCAATGAATATTTATAACAGCTCAGGTGTCAGAGACTCCCTTCAGCTGAAGAAAGACCTTATTCAGATTTTATTGATGGAGCTCACGATGCTCCTGCTCCTGCACAACACAAGGTCAGGCTGAATTTCGATGTCACACTTCATTAAAGTGTGCACTGGGCACCCTTGGCTGCAGGTGCTCCCTGACCCCAGCACCCTGCAGCCCACGAGCATCAGCAGCTCTCTCTCCTGCCACATTTGCAGCGTTTTTGCAGAGTCAGCCAATCAATATTTTTTAAAAAACGACCCCAAAGTTGCCAGCCTGTGATTATCCTTGCAACATTCCCAACCTGATGGTGCTGCCAGCTCTGGGTGCAGCCTGCACCTGCCTCTGACGGGTTGGAGTCTTGCTTTGGCTTGGTTCACAGCAAGAGACTGAAAACAGATCTTTCCTGCCTCATCTAGGGAAATAATCCCATTTGGAGGATGTTATCTTTTAAGCAGAACCCAAGAAATCATGGATCAGAGAGCTGGGCTTTGAAACTTCCAGCAAAGCTGAGAAATTTACACAAAATGAAACGGTTTTATTTCAACTATGTCCTCTCCCTTCCCCAAGAAATAAATAAATAAAAGGGGGAAAAGTTTTTTCCTGTATTTCTGGAAATACAGGAAAATTGCTGCTGTGTTCTCAATGCCCATGGAATGAGGTGATGGATTTGATTTGGCACAGTTTATGGGCTGCAATCAAGCTGCAGGCTCAGGAGTTCAGTGCCACTGTCTGTCACCGAGTCAAACTGAGGCTAACAAACTTCACATCCCGAAATTTGGTGCCCTCCAATTATTGCTGCTTTGGAGAGCAAGGCCCCAGCTGAAGGCTGCAGTGTCACCTGTGAGCAGTGCTGACCTTCCTTTGAGGCATTGCTGGCATTTGTCACCCTTCTGTTCACCACTGCAGAGTTTTTGCAAAATCAGAAGAGTCCCAAGATCGTCAAGCCCAACCTTCAGTCAGATCCCACCAAATCCTATCCCAAAGGGCCACATCCAAAAACCAAAAGGGGTTTTTGAGCAGCCTCCACCACTGCCCTGGGGAGCCTTCTGGCAGTGAGGGATCATGGTTTGAGGAACAGGAATTTTTCTAAATATATGGCAGCAGAGCCATTTATGGGATCTCATCCTGGCAGAGCTGCACAAACAGGGGTGTGGGGCTGCAGAAGGAGGCAGCAGCAGGGGCTGAGCTGCTGGGAAGCCCTGCAGGGTGGCAGGTGACACTGCAGGGACCCACAGGTGACACTGCAGGGATCAGCAGGTGACACTGCCAGGGACATCAGGTGACATTGCAGGGTGGCAGGTGATGCTGCAGGGACCAGCAGGTGACACTGCAGGGACCCGCAGGTGACACTGCAGGGACATCAGGTGACATTGCAGGGTGGCAGGTGATGCTGCAGGGACCAGTAGGTGACACTGCAGGGACCCACAGGTGACGCTGCAGGGACAGCAGGTGACACTGTGACACTGCAAGGACCCGCAGGTGACACTGCAGGCACCAGCAGGTGACACTGCAGGGTGGCAGGTGACACTGCAGGGACCCACAGGTGACACTGCAGGGTGGAAGGTGGCACTGTGACACTGCAGGGATCAGCAGGTGACACTGCAGGCACCAGCAGTTCCCACGGCCACCACCTGCAGGGCTTTCGTCACCTCAGCCCTGTTTACACCGAATTTAGGAACTGAGTGTCCCCAACAAACAACTTCCCTGTCCCTGGTGGCCTCAGCAGGACCTGGGTCATGTCCCAGCCCTCCTGGCAGTGCCACCAGCCCTGTGGCCGTGGTGCCTCTGGCTGGTGTCACCCAGCAGGGCCAGCTCACCTGGAGTGAGGAGTGAAAACAAGGCAGAGCTGCTGTGAGAACCTGAGCCTGCCTTTGCCAGCTCACATTTCCAGCTGCAGCATTGATATTTGCTATTTGTCATGCTCTTAGGTGTGATGCCCCAAGTTGCGGTGTTTTGCACCATTTAATTAAAAACAAACATTATAGGATAATCTTCTAAGCCTGTTTCCTCACCAGACCATGGAGGAAGAACAACATGGAAAAATCAAACCCTGTTCCAAGGGGACAAATGGAAATCAAGGTGCTGAGCAGACAATGAGGGGTTTATCTCATCTGTAAGATAAATGTATTTATCAGAAGTGACAGCAAACCCAGAAAGGCTTGAGTCCAGCTTAACAACTTTGAATTGTGAGGCTGAACAAGAGCAGCTCTGCAGGAGCCCCCCTGCAGTCTCTGTCTGCCTGGGGAGAAACTGCAATTCCTACAGAGGGCAGAGCCACGGGTGAGCCCCAAATTCAGAAATGCAAAAATTCAGAAATTCAGAAATTCAGTGTAGGAACAAAGAACCTGGGATGGAGTCAGGAATGGAGCTGGCAAAGGGAGAAACCCGGAGAGGATTTCTGCCAGAGTGTGGAATGGAGCTGGCAAAGGGGAAACCCAGACTGGATTCCAGCTGGAGTTTGGAATGCAGCTGGCAAAAGGGAAAACGCAGAGAGGATTTCAGGCAGAGTCTGGAATGGAGTCAGCAAAAGGAAAAACCCGGACCAGATTCCAGCTGGAATCTGGAATGGAGCCGGCAAAAGGAGAAACCCAGAGAGGATTTAAAGCAGAGTCCGGAATGGAGTTGGAAAAAGAGAAAATCCGGACTGGATTCCAAGTGGAGTCTGGAATGGAGTCAGCAAAAGGGAAAACCCGGATCAGATTTCTCCCAGAGTCCAGAATGGATCAAAAAATTAATTAAATCTTCTTATTTTCTTAATCCTATTGGCAATCTGAAGTTCCTGTAGGCTTTATAGAAATTTCTCAAGCTGAAATTCAGCCGAGCTGATGTCTGGAGATGCCTGAAGAGTCTAGCTGTAAAATTAGACAACAAATTTAAATATTTTAAGTGATTTGGGATGTCTCCATTGACAGGTGTCTATCAAGTCATCCAAAACATTTTTCTCAAAAAGACCCCTGTGGGTAAAGAGGATTTTGCTTAAAAAAAACATAGAGATTATTGCTCACAATTTTAAAAATTCATTATGTTTCAGGAAACCACAGCTCCCATAACAGAGATCCATTTCTGGTTGAACACATAAACAAGGTTCAAACTGACATACCTTGTAGGGAATTTACTAAATTTGGTGGATTTTACACCTCCTTAATGAACCAATAAAAAAATTGAACCCCCTTAATTCAATTCCAAGCTGGATTTATTTGCTTTGGGAGATGTACAAATAGAAACTCTGTCAAGAAAAAACACCCCTGGTCCTCCACTCTGTTTCCAGCTGATATCTTTATATTAATTACATTAATTGGGGAAAGAGATTCAAATACATAAAACTGCATTTAGAAAAAGGCACCATTTTTCTATTAAAATGTCTCAGAGAAATAAGAATAATATTGGGAACAGAGAACTGATCAATATTCCTCTCAAAGTGGACTGGTGGAGTGCGCTAATTAAATTAAAAATCCTGAAATTTAGATTCTCAATAGCAAAGCAGAAGTTTTGTCCCACCCACCTGGCAAGGTGTGATATTTCTGGATAACCTTCAGGATTAGGTGCTTTACTCTCTTGGGAATGGTAAAGTACAAAGGAAAAAATAGGAAACTAAGGAAAAAATAGGAAAATTTTGGAAAGAGGCAGAGAAAGTAAAGCAATAATTTCTGCAATGGGGGAAACAGAACAGTTCTCAGGCAGAACTGAAGTAGATAAAACACAGGTTGGCATCTTAATGCTTAAGTTTTTCTTTCTTCCCTTTTCTTTATCATCAAAGGAAGCAAAGCACTTCTTCTCCCATCTCAGATCAATCCATCAAACAGCAGAGCAGGAAAGCTGTGTCAAAAAAGAAAAAATATTTCCAGAGCAATGGAAATTCTTGAAGAAATACCTATATATATTTTTTGCTTGATAAATTATTTCTTCATTTCTATATTCATACGAAGCACATGTATTTTCCTGCTCTGTTGAACAGAGAAATCCTGCGAGTTCCCAGGGAAAGCTGCTATTAGGTTATTTTTCTCTGACTGAAGAAGTTATTTGCTGTAGTTTTCAAACCCTGGTAAAAAGCTTTGCTGCTCTTCCTGTGCCCTATTGAGCACAGGTGCAAATTAATTTTTTAAAATGTTATTTTAAATGGAAGATGGTTTCAAACTTTAAATTCAAGTGTTTTCTGTGAATCTGATTGATTTCAAACTAACTTGGTAGGATCCTGATGTTGCAGCAATGCCAATTTCAAGCAAAGTCATGATTAGAAATGGATCAAATTATTATAAATTATATAGTTTAGCAGAAAAATTTGGTGTTCAATAGGATTGAGGCAAAAAAAGGAGGATCTGAGGAAGATCCCAGCAAAGCTAAACAGGATTGGGGATGGGCTGGAATTTGCTGAGAGGAGATGAGAGACAAGCAGGACCCAAGCTCGACTCTGCTGATGGAAGCAAGCTGTTTCCAGGAAAGCAGAAGGCACCAAAAAGATTTAAAAATCCAGGCTGTTAGTGCTGATTTTCCCTTTAAACCCCCCAGTTTTCCCCAGGTTTGGAGGATATCAGCAGGGCAGCAAGGAAGTTCCCCACTGGGTGAGGACCGAGCCTGGTTTTCCCTCAGGTTTTCAGCAGTTTGCAGGGAAGTTCTGCAAGAGACAGGGTGTAAAGCTGTGATCTCACATTGCCACCCTCCAACACTCCTCCTGTTTTGTTGTTTTTTTGGTTTTTTTTTTTTTTAATCAGGTCACTCAAATTAATTGGTTTCAACTTCCCTTTTTTTTTCAAGTGGAAGTTCATTAAAATGTTGAAAAATTGCCATCACAAGGAAAAGCACAATCTCCTGTTAACAGTGTCAACCCGCAACTGCTCTGGCTTCTTTTCCTTCTTAATTGGATCTGTTGAATCAAATTCTGCTTAGCAAACAGCTTGGATTTGGGCAAATCAGCACTTTTTTTCCAGTGGGGGGAACAAAAAAAAAAAAAATTATCAAGAAATTCCCAACCATCCCAACTAACTTCCCAGATGTGGTGGTATCTTAATAAAGTCGTAGCCTATTTAAAACTTGTTTCTTGCATGCTGAAGTTCTTGCTGAAGTGCCAGGGGACAATCAGTCACCACTTGTACTCAATAAACTGGGAGATGATACTTCAGGAATCGATGCAGCTCTGCAGAGATGTGAAAGATGTGCATTTATTGGAGGAAAGCAGTAAATAAAAATAAAACCTCGCTGGGATTTCATTTCAGTGCCCAATGGGTGAGTTTGTACTTCTGTGCATGTATAAATAACTTAATTATAAATAAAGATGCCAAAGGGAAAGGAAAATTGTAAACTTAGCAACTATTGACTAATATGCAAAAAATAAGACCAATGTCATCAAGCTGCACTCTGCTATTCTAATTCTGCATTCATTTGCATAAAATACTTGCTGATTTGATGCAGATAATTCCTGACTCTCCACTCCATCAAGAAAAATCGATTTGTGGCTATTACAGACTAAATCAACATTTTCCTGGTTTTTGTTGCCCACCCCAAGCTCCACTGCTCTCACAGGTGAGTTCAGAGGTGAGAGGAGCAGAGCCTGGCACTGTGAGTACACAGAAAGCACAAGGAATAATCTTATCTCAATATTGAGTTAATACTATTACAGCTATTAAAGCATTTTAAAGACTTCTTGGCCAACTCACAATTAACACTTCTTCAATCTTCTTAAATTATCAAGCACTATGAAAATAGACAAGGTCATTGTTTTATCTGCAATAAAGTCAAAGGAATTGCCAGAGACTCTTACACGTATAATTAACAGTGTGCAATTTATTCAATAAAGCTCTCATTTAATTACAGGAACCTATTACACTGAGTGATGCGTTAGGGGTGATTTATATCTCACATGTAAATATTCAGAAAGAGGCCTCCCATCATGAAAGCAGCTGCTCCCTGCTCTCCATCCACGTTCAGCTTCAGTGTGTTGGCACAATATAGAAATTAAATTGGTACAATATAGAAATTATTAAATATTGGGAAGGATGGGGAGGGTGGGGAGGCCCTGGCACAGGGTGGAACCCTGGCAGTGCCCAAGGCCAGGTTGGACACTGGGACAGTGGGAGGTGTCCCAGCCATGGCAGGGGCGGCACTGGGTGGGTTTTAAGGTCCCTCCCAACAATCTCTCCTGGGATTTATATTGACACCAGGCCCTTACAAGCCGGCAGGGATTATTTTGGGAAGATTCAGCGTCACCTGTTGGAATCATGGCTGATGCCTCCTTGGTTTTCCTCAGGAGTTTGGCCTGGAGCAGCAGTCACAGACACAAGCAGGTGCTGAGCTGTGCCAGATGTTTCATCTCCTTTTCTTGCTGTTCCTTTCACCCACAGCAAAAAACTGAAGTTTGTCAGCAAGCCTGCGCTCTTTCTGCATCCATAAATTGTGAATCCGCACCAATTTGCACTGTTAGAAAAACAAAAGTCAGTTTGGTTTTCTTTTTCCTTAACATAAAAAAAAAGAAATATTCCTGATACCTACTAATAAATTGTTCCTTGTTGGGATGGGATTATGCACTTGTACCTTCCCTGTGCTCCCAGGGCCTGTCTGCCCTTGGATTATCCAAAATCCAGAAGAGATTCTGCACAAAGCTTTAAACCCCAGAGCTTTTAAACTGAAAGCCATTCAGAGCTGCAGTAAGTCACTGCCTCTGTGTGAGCTACACCTGCGCTGTTTTAGCACCCAAAGCACAGCAAATCACCCCATTACTTAAGTATTTCCCTCCACAGATCTCAGAGCTTTCACAAAAAAGCAGCTGAATGAAGCCGTTTATGTGCGAACAGAAAACATTTTTCAACATCCATTCCTCAAAAAAAGCTCTCACTTCTGTTATCACAAATTTAAACAACAACAAAAACTTCAAACCCAGTCAAAGGCAGCGGTGTCAGGCTGACAGGAGTTGATGACACTCATAAAAGGAACAGCTTTCTAAAGAGACATCTCTCTCGTGGAAAGTGTTAGCCAATTGATAACACAGGTAATATTCAGCACTCCAGATCTATGCTGATGTATAAAACTGCTGTCAAAACCACTGCCTTTATTGACATCAGCATGAATACTTTGCTCCTGAGGTAAAGACATTATTGTCAGGAGTAGCTGAAAACATTAGAGAAGCTATTTCTCAGTTTAACTACGTAAAAGTCTGCTGTTAAAAATCTTTACGAGTCCTTAACATCAGAAAAATTGTGGAGGAATCCTGTTTACAATGGAATGCCTGGCTTAAAACCTTGAAAGGGTATTTTAAGTGGAAAAACCACTGGATTGGTGGCCCTGGTCACTGGCAAACCCGGCTGTGCCTGCCCACACCACATTTCATACCCTGTGCAGCCCTGCCTGGGGCTCTGGCAGTTTTAGAGCCCAATGGATGGAAATTTCCTCAAATTGTGAGGAAAATGCTCAAGAAGTGATTTCCAGGGGCCACAGCAAGGAAGTCAATCCAGCTGCATAGATCCCATCACATGGAATATTGCAGCACATCCAGGGACTGGGAGCAACTGGGAACTGTGGAGGGGCAAAACAAATCCTGCTGTGCCCCACCTGAAAATACATTCATTTTCATTATCATACATTCATTAAATTTCCTGGATTGGAAGGGACCCACAAGGAGCATCAAAATGCAACTCCAGGCCACCCCAGCAGAGATTCCAGCCCCTCACCAACCTCCCCCTTGGAGGTTTCACTCACCAGCTCCAAAAATAACACATGCTGCTGTTTGGTGAGTAATTTTGACAGAATTCCAGCTCTTGCTGAGCTGTAACAGATTATTAAAACTGTGGGATATTCTAGAAAACACCTTCCTGAGGTCCTGAGTGTCGGAGACCTTTTTGTTGGGAAAACTCAAACTGCACCAACACTGCTGAGTGTGAAACCTTCTCCAAGAAGAAAATCCTCTCTGTTGTGGTTGCATTCTCAGCACCCAGTGGTCAATAGCTAACATGCTGTCCCTTAAACGTGGCTATAGGGAATTAACACTGGGCACCTCCAGATCCTGCTGCAATGCCCTTTGCTTTGGACTTCAAAGGCAATAAAAAAGTAATATTGAGATCAAAGGCTCCCAGCACAATCACACTTTTTGAAGTTTGCAAACCATAGAAATTGGAGGCGTTTTAGTTCGCTGGCTCTTGTCATTTTTTTGAACTCCTGAGCACTTTGAGCCACTGTTCAAACTTTTGATATGCCCTCGTGTTTTGATGCACAAGGATCTGAAGATGGCAGGGAATTCCAGATTAATCCATGCTGACAGCAAGGGCCCTCGTTACCTTTCTATTGATTTTGCAGGGTCTGGGGGGAAAAAAAAATAAGCAGCAGAGAGTGTTTTAAAGCTTTCCTGTGGCACAGGCTGCATCACACATCCAATTCTGGCTCAATTACCACGACATGTCCATGCTTAATACTCCCAACTATAAAACTTCAGCAGCAAACATTTTGATCAGGCCTTGAAACCTGAACTATTTAGAGATCCAAAATCACATCAGACAGTGCTGTAAGACCTGAATGAGTCAAATTCCTCTTGAAAAGCAAAATAGGGGCAAAGCAGAGAGCCAGGCCCTGAAGTGTGTGGAGCAAAAGCTGTCAGCATTCCTTGTTCAGAATTCCTGAAAATCACATCACACCCCATGCTGAAGTGCTCAGCTTGGAACTTAAATTGCTTTTCCTTCAAGAGGGATAATTTTTGGATGTGGCAGAGATCCCTGTTGACTCTGTTTGTGCAGGGGACTGTCCTGGGCAGTTAAAGTGATTTCAGGTCTTGGCAATACTCTGAATATCCAGGGTGCTGGAGGAGGGCAGCATCCTCCCCCTGCACTGCAGGGCCCTGGTGAAGCAGGCTCTGTACAGCAATAAATCTGTTTATTTTTGTTATGGTTCTCCCCTCGCTCTCTGGCTGCTTCTGTTTTCCCTTTGAAAGCACTTGATTGTCCCATTCTCTGTCTGTTTGCAGCATCATAAAGTGAAATTCACTTCATTGATCAGAAGATGACCTCCATCCAGTGCCTCTTAGATTAGAGATAACAGCAGGCTGCTGTCTCACTGAGAAATAATTTCTTTGGCTCCTTCGGCTCCTCTTTATTATGATTGCTTCCTAACATATCACTTAAAAACTGGAGTGGAAAACAAATGAGGATATCTTCTCCACTGTTTGTATTTTGACTTCCCAACAAACACAGATGCACACACACTGCAGCACTTGGTGCTCTAGAATAATTCATATTTTCCTGTGGAAGATGAAGAAAATATTTAACTGTAGACAAACGAGCTGAGGAAAGGGGTAAAAATGGATTGACATAAAACCTACATTTTGCCTGAGAGACTTTATGCTTCAAACCAGGAAAAATGGGAGATGTACACTCATGTGAAATTTAAACTGTGCATATTCAGGAACAGGTTTTTAAATATCAGCAATAAAGATCATGTTGGAATACATTATCACATTCTGCACTGGAGCATGTGTTACATATTTATAACAAGGAAAGCGTGCAAGACTAATCATACACTATGAATAATGCCATGTTTTTCCAGGCAGATTTGCAAAGTGTTATCCCAGACATTCCCTTCTGCTGGGGGCAGAGGAAGCAGAGGCTGCTCAGCATCCTCTGCAGAGGATCCCACTGCCAAGTGAGAGGTGTGGTGGCATTTAGCTGAAAATAGGCAGAAATATCTGCATTATTTGGCTATTTCAGGCCTACTGCTCAGCTCAGGAGAGCTCCAGTTGGCAGCATTTGTTCCCAGGGCCCTGGATGGCGCTGCCTTGGCAAAGTGCTGGGATTTCTGGAGGGCTTGTCAGCCTCAGGAAAGCCCCCGAGCTTCAGTCTCACCATCCTCCACTTCCCCAGGCTCTTGAGGAATAAAATAAACTGCTCTTTTATCCCCTCCCTCAAACAAAACTTGGAGTGCCTCACACACTGGAATGGGCTTTTGACAGCTGACCTTATTATATCACGTAATTTATAATTAAAGCTCCACAAATCCAATTGTGTCAGAGACTGATACAGCTGAAATACTACACGGATAAATCACCCAAACCATTTCAGTTTTATGAGCTGTTTGCCCTAACATGAGCTACTCAGCACCAGCCCTGTCCAGTCTGCTGAGCTTTTCCTCCTTTATGGAAGCACAGGGAGCTTCCAAAGGAGGGAGAGTGGAGAGAAAAATGTGTTTTTTATTCCTGGCTGTGCTGTGTGCCAGGGCTGCTTCATGGGGTAAAACTACCTGCTCCATTCTCAGGCATCCACATGGAGATTCCTCTGCATAACATCTCAAACTGGGATTAAAATCCCAGT